TAGTTAGTTGAAAGGGCACTAGGGCACCTTAAGAGAGTCATAGTATTTCCCATTCTCAAAGGTGCTTTTAGATGACGAGAGAGGCATTGCACCCTCCAAATAGTTAGCGGGGTAATTGGTAATCTTACGAGAGTCATAGTGTTTCCCACTCTCATAAGTGTCTTGAGATGGCGAGAGAGAGGAATTTGGTTACCTTTGGAGAGCCATAGTTACTCCCGCGGGACAGTGCATGATCCTATTTTTGTGTGCTAGGTTCAAAGAGAATTGTATGCTATATGCATGCAAATCCGCCTCGCTATTGTTCCTATTTCAAACCTCTTACATTATCGAGGCAAAACCCGACTCACACGACCACATCGTGCCTCCCGGTTGATGAGACGTATGTCCCATGAACCAACGTGAGCGGTACCGGGTGGTGGAGATCGGGCTAATCACCCACTCTACCTATACTCACCCACTGATTACGAATCCTACAATGAAAAAATGCATCTCTACCCATGGTTCAAAAAAAGACAAAAAAATCTCAAAAACTCCCAAAAACTAAAATTTGGCTTATGGAACGTCCGAGGTTGCTCACAAGAAAGCAAATTACATCAGATTGCGAGTCAAATAACTGAACGACAGTACCACCTAGCAGTGATTACCGAGACCAGAATGCCCAGCAAGATATTAGAAATGGATGAACACACAACCCTACTCAACTGCAATCCAGATACAAACGACTACAAAAACACTGGTGTTGCCTTCATCGTCAACAATCACACAAACATTACAACATCGCACTTCAATGAAATAAACAGCAGAATTGCAACGATAATCGTCCACTCCAAGTCAATGAACCAATCCTTAAATGTTATTGGATGCTATTCTCCTACAGAAGCCTCAGATGATGACAACCAAAAAGACAACTTCTACCTCTCATTAAAACAAACAATCATGAACATCAAGCAAAACAAGCTACCGATAATATTAATGGGAGATTTCAACTGCAGACTAAGCCAAGAACTACACACGATGTACCCTCACATAATTGGCAAAGCAATAAAATTAGAAAAAGATACTTCACCAAATGGCATCAGATTAATCAACCTCTGTCAGTCAACGAAACTAAAAATCATGAACACTTTCATACAAAAATCACATAACAAATCCATCACGTGGATGCACCCTAACACAAATGATGCTCACACCATTGACCTAATTCTCTCAGATAATAAACCCAATTCAAACATCACAATATGCGACGTACACAACTCACGTTCAATGGAAGCCAACTCAGATCATTTCATGCTCACCACAATAATCAAACTCCAACATAAAAAATCAAAAAAGAAACACAAACACACGCACAAAACATGCACACAAAATAACTCACGAAATGCCATTCACTCCTTGTCCTCGGAATACCCAACAATACTAACAAATCTAATAAATGAGACAAATGACCTGACACAAATAGAAAAATCCATCATATGTGCTGCAACATTAGCTGCAAACCCTCGAAAGTCAACAATAAAAAGATGGCAAACGCAAATCAGCGAGGACCTAAAAGAGGAGCTCAAACACAGAAAACAGCTAAGACTCCAATGGCTAAACAATCCAACCACCGAAAACAGAGACAAATATAACCAAGCAAACAAACAAGTAAAACATAAAATAAAAACAACCAAAGAAGAATACATTCAAAAGAAAACCGAGGAGCTGAATACCTTCTTTGAACAAAATGATCTACACTCCGCATATAAAATGCTTGACGATATATTAGCTACAATAAGAAACCAAACATACAAACAGCGCAGAAACCAAATAAACAACAAAACACTTCAACAACACTACCAAAGCCTATTTCAATCAACAACCACAGCAAACCTAGAATCCTCGAATGTGAATCAATTCAATGAACCTCTCCTAACAAAACCTGAACTCGACATAGTTATCAAAAATCTCAAAAATAACAAAACTCCCGGCAACAACGGCATAACCAACGAGATGATCAAACAGGGCGGAGAGAAACTACAATACATCCTACTAAACATCATGAACAAATTTTGGACAAACCCAAACGAAATCCCAAACCACTGGTTGAACGCTAATGTCATAAGCATATACAAAAACAAAGGATTGAAATCTGGTCCAAACAACTACAGAAGCATCTTTCTACTAGACACACTAAGCAAAATATTCTCCGGAATGATTTGTAACAGACTGGTGCAACAAACAGATAATCAAATCCCACCAACGCAATTTGGCTTCAGAAAACACTTAACTACCAGTCATGCAATAACTACAATCAGACATATAATCCAATGCGCTCTTGATTCAAAGAAAACGCTAATCATCATCTTCGTAGACCTCACGAAAGCCTTCGACACCTTACCAAAATCACTAATTCAGAACGCACTTGCAAAAACATGCCATTCTCGAAACATAAACTTATGCATCAATAAACTATTAGATAATCCAAAAGGCTTCCTAGCAAAGACAAAACTAAACTTCACCATGTACAGAGGAGTAAAGCAAGGAAGCAAAGAAGGCCCAACCCTATTTAATCTCGTCTTCAAACAAATTCTGGAACATACAATCGAC